TACCTCTCCGACAGGAGCGACAGCGACGCATGGCCGTGCTGCAGCAGCGCGAGGAATGGACGGCACAGCATCGCCAGAAGACTGAGGAGTTGGAGAGAGAACTTCAGGACACGCAGCACGAGAGTCATGTATAGATTCCGCAGATGATATTTCTTCGAACAACAAAGCTGGGGCGGAAGAGGCCCACACGCAGAGTGCCAGTTTTAAGTTTTCAACTGTTTGGCCAGGTGTTTGTCAAGGGCTGCTACTACGTAGAGCTTTGTGTTCTTTTTGGGGCTGGTCATCACACAAGAAGCCTCGAACACATGTGTAGGACTTGCACCCCGTGAAGTTCTACAAGGCAAGTGGACCTCACGCAGGACCTCATGCCTGTCCCCCCAACAATGATTGCTTCCCAAGGTGCTGGCGCCCAAGGCAGCCACCATGACAGAAGGCGGGAGCAAGGATGGCCGTTTTCGCTTCTACTTTTGCTGTCGATGGAACAAGTAGGGCGGTGACTACAGTGACAGCCGGTCAATTGGGAGGAGATATTCAAGTCCAAGTCATATCAAATCCACTGTTACTGGCTATGAGAGATGCTATGACAATGATACACCTAAGGTGCCCAAGGTACAATAGAGAGAGAGAGGGAGAGTGGAGCTGGGAACGTTCCCCGCGTGGCGTGATGTCATACCACGTCCCACCCTCCGCTCAGACGGGGAGCAGATCACGCTTGAACTCAGCTCCGCGTCCGGTGAGGTGAGCTTCAGAACGCTTTGCGGCGCACAACGGCACGCTTAAAAACACTGGTGCAACAATTCCAAGCAGTTCCTGAGCTTGAGAGTGGATTGGGTGGATTAGCCTGCAGTTGGGGGGCATGATCTTGGTTGCCCTCCTAGGCTGGCGATGAGGGCCTGATCCAGACACGACATGAGTTGCAGCAGCAGCGGCAGAAGCTAGATGAGCAGGTGAGACTGGAATACGGGCTTTTGTGAGAAACAGCGGGATGTAAGCTGCTGTTGTAAGGTTTGATAAGATTTGTAAGGCGTGGCACACTCGAGAAACCATGCTGTCTAAGACAAGGCATCACTTGGATGTTGAACATCGCTGTTGAATCGACTCAGTCCAGCCATCGAAGTAGCCATCGCTTCAGTATCACACCCTTGTTTCCTCGAGGTCTACAAGGCCTTGCAACAGCACTCGCGTCTCCAGCTGCAGCTCCTGGATCAAGTGGGCACGAAGATTTCGACCAGCGTGGCGATGCTTGGACGCTACAGTGCTTCCGAAGGTGAGGTGCTTCGAACATGTTTGAACCCAAAACAATGGAACATCGGAAAAGGTGTAGCGGCCAGGGACTGATCTGCAGGCAGGAGTTTGTTGGACGTGCACGGCCCAGGAGTTTGTTGGACGTGGCGCGTGCTCGTGCCGACCTCATGGCTCGCGGCTTGTCGCCCGAACTGGAAGATGTGTACTCCATCGCAGCTGCACCTAGGACAGTTTGACACGCGTTGTCACGAGTTTGCAGTCATAGAATTCAAATCGACTTCCATGAGACAAAGGCGTTTTTGTCAAGTTGGGAGTCAGCCAAACTTCGTTTGTTGAACTTCCGCACATGCAGCAGGCAACAATCTGTTCCTAATCCTGGACTAGTAGAACACCAGGTGCTAGGGAAACGTCAATGTTGATCATCTGCCCCTGTGTTTCCCCGGTCTGATGTTTTCACTGCGACGGAGCTGCATCGCAGGCGCCAGGACATGAGAGAGCTCCGTGCCGCGTTGAGCTCGGTCGAGACGGCCTGGAAAGAGGCAGTGTGGCCAAATAGGTTTGGAAAATGAAACGACAAGAATAGATTTCAATTGCAGAAAAAGCGGTGTAAAATTGATTGTACATTTATATATAGATTAATTAAGCATGCGTAGACTTCAAGAGGTGGTCAGTTGGGCCCTAGTTCAACTCGGAGCCAGCTGGCATCCATGCACTTTCTTTCTTGAGATCACTAACTCCAGAATTCTGTTGATCATATTCCAGCAGCTCCATCTTCAGCCAGAAGAATGCTCTCATCTTGCCAATGAGACCTCTTGGAACCAATTACTTATCTTCAAACTGCCTCCAACCGACCAGGCTTTTTGAGGCCAGTGTCGTATGCACACAAATTAGACATTCACTATAGACTATATACTTAACACTTAACTTGGTAACACTGTTGATCACTGGTGGTCCCAATCTTTTGTTCATCCTTTTTTACTATGATGCTTATGACCCGGAACACTGGGTCACTGATGGATCGCGTAGGCAACGAGCTTCTGGGATCCGCAAGGTGACCAAGCAAAGGTCAAGGAGATGGACAACGACCCGACGAACTACTAGTGGCGTCCTTGCTACTAGTAGTAATGGCCTCCAACCTAATAGCGATGGCCTCCACCCTAGTAACTAGTAGCCTCGTGCTACTCCACACATGTAAATGGACGGTCCGACCTCTTACGAAAGAGGACATTGATTTCTCATGCTTTCTCTTTCGTGACTTTCGTGGCCATGCCTGGCTGCCAGGGTCCATGTTGGTGAGGACATGTAAACCAGAGACCCACCGCCGCCACTCCAAACCCGAGGACCGTATCACTGGTCTGAAACAACATCCCCCTGGGGTTGGGGTGGAACGTGAAACATGCTGAAACACGCTGAACAGAGACATATTCTTGAGTTGCTGTGATCAGATCTTTTTCTAAGACGTTTTTGGCCAATTGTTCCGGTGCGAGGGGTTGAACACGAAGAGTTCATCATAGAAACTGGAGGAGGGCGGCCTTGACTGTCACCGAGATCAGACAATTTACTGAGACTACGACCTTTCAATCCCCAATGGAGCTTCGATTCACATGCCTTCAGGAGCTTGCTGGCGGTGTGCTTCCACAGCTTGAGGCAATTTGTCTCCTGTGCTGAGAGCGGGTGCATTGATCTTCTGCCCAGATTGGTGATAGGAATGAAGTCGCCCTGAGTCCAGCCAGATATAGCCAGATTCTCCTGAAAAAAAACCTCTATTTAGTACATCTTTCTGATGATTGCATTCTGTGTAAAGTTGACACATATTTCATATTGAAGCCGAGCATGGGGATTCTGGAAGAAAGCAGGCAGCTCGGGAGCGCATCAGCCAGAGCCTTCAGCAGCTTCAGAGAGCAGATCCCGATCTTTACGAGCTCTCTTTGATGGGGGAGGAGGTGTGGCCACGGCCACCGTGTGGTGTTTGCAACGATTGTCGCACCGTGCGACGTTTTCACGGAGTGTCACACCATGCAGCACTGTGCATCATGGAATCCAGATCACGGTGGAGCATCTCAGCGTGTTTCAAGGAGATCAGCCAACTTTCTTCAGAGCAACATGGCGTTCCGCATGGCTGGGAGGCGAGGATCGGACCAGAGAGTTGCGGCAGGTCTTGCCACATACTGTATGTGTAAGCTCTTGTCAAGGCTCTTGCCACTGATGATGGCATGGTCTACTACCATAATCTGGTGTCAGGCTGGCCTGTGCGTGTTCTGAAGCGATGAAGAATTCCCATGACATCCCATGACCTTCGACCCTGTCTTTGGTGACCCACCTGTTGCCCTTCCCGCGGATGCGAGTCACACCCCTCCGAGCCGCAAGCGATCCATTTCTGGAGTAGCAAGGGGTCGCCCTGCACAGATATATATATATATAATTGTATATATATATATAGTTGTGCAGTATAGTTGTGTATATATATATATACAAGTTATACTTGTGCATATATTTCCAATATTTCCACACACACATATATATATATAATATACAGTAGACATATAAAAAGGTAACCTGTCTTCCGGACTTCCTGTATGTTGTTTTGTTGTTCCCAGAGGCATTGCACGACGACAGGCACAACACAATGGGAACAACCTTCGCAAGATGCTGCTGTTTGTGCGGGCTGGCGACTTTTTCAGGCGGAGGATGGAGGCCACACAGCAGAAAGAAATGTTTTTCACAGGCAGGCAATCCATGGACCCTCCATAGCAGGGGTCTGGACCCTCACGGATTCTTAGGGTAAGCAGATGACGCAAGTTTTTGGGATCATTGAACCTTAGAAGGCCAATATAATATGCACGACGCCATAGGTTAGTGTCTGAACATCCTTCAACAGGCTCACCTGCATGCCTGACATGCAGCGGAACCCGTAAAATTAATGTTAATCTGAGTCCCACCCCTGTTTTGAACTAACAGATGTGTTGACACTTTGAGAGACATTGTTCAACAATTTAGCCAGGAGAACATGCACAGCTCTACTGTATGGAATCAATGATGAGCAAATCTACAACAATATTCAATCACACACATACTGTATATATATATATATATTTGTGATTATGTGTGCGTGTCTTTGGTATGTTAAACAGTTTTTGTTCGCAATTCTGAAGCAGACTCAGCAGGAAACACTGGAAATCACACGGATGAATGGAGACCCGGACGCTGCATAGGTTGGTTCTATCACAATCCCTACGATGGCAATGGTGTGTGGTGGCCCGAGCTGCCCACATACCCGGTGGAGCCCGACTCTTTGGAGAGCCTCCGGAAGGACTGGCAAGTCTGGAAATGTATAATCCACTCAGAAGGCCTTAGGAGCAAGGACGCTACTAGGGGCTCCTGGCATCGCTACTAGGAGCAAGGACGCTACTAGCGACATATCATTTGCTTCCAATTCAGGAGGCAGCTGAGGGCTGACGCACGGACCGGAGCCACTTGAGCAAACGCTCAAAGCGCGGGTCGTTGGGCATCATGATCCAACGCCTCTCTCCCATGGAGAAGGGCATTTGGAGCTGGTTGTGCCGACAAAAGTAGCTCCACTCAACCCGTGCTGTTTACCTCAACTCACTCCACCTGAAGGGAAGGGGGAGTGAGGGGCAGAGAGAGAGAGAGAGGCGGGGTTTGGCCCTTCTATGTCTCTATGTGCTTGGTTGCTTCCTCTTGCAAATTCTCCCCGCATGGCAACTAATAACTCTACCAACTGTTCCCCATGCCAGGTCTATGGCACAGCACAAACGCCGAACCTGTCAGGACCTCATCAGCCCAGGTTGCTCCAACAAGCTCTGAAGGTCCAAGCAGCTTCAGCTGTTGTTTTTTCCCTTCGCTCAGGCATTGGAGCTATAGGCGTGATGATGAGGTCAGATACCCAGCCTCGTCCAGCCATGAAGAATGAGACGTTGATCAAGCATTAAGATTTGCATAAGGTATCTCGGAGTTGAATTCAGCTCTTGAAAACAGCGGAGGCTTTTGACATCTTCTGTTTGCACATGCTGGCGCTGTCTGAGTTGTTGTTTAAATTGCAGGATTCTAGGGTAGATTCATTCAAAGCGAGGATGCCCTGCATACTGTTGCTGTACATGCATTCGCACGTGTTTCGCACAGCCTCAGGTATCGTTTTGCAGGGTTTGCAGAGTTCGCACATCGACATCCCAGGACATATGCAGTATATACCCAGTACTTATTCATAATGTAGCAATCGATGCCGGAGGGGCATCCATTACAGCCGAGATCGTTTTCTGAAGCTCAAACTTGCAGTCTCGACATGTCTTGGCTGAAATGCCCTTGTATAAAGTATGGCCACAATTCGGAGAACAATTCATTTGCAATAGCGACTGGACACAAGATTGCCTCAGTTGGTTCAGAATACTCTGGAGAAAACATACGTGTTCGAATTTGTTTGAGACAAATATTGCGGTCTATGTTATTTGTCCTCTATGTTGTAGCAAGGGTCTGTAAAAATGAAATAGATTCAGGTAGAATACGCACTGCTCCATGTCAAGTGTTTGTTGCTTTCTTGTTTCAGTCCTGGTACTGGCCCTCCTTTCAAGTGTTAATACCCTTTGTCAAAAAACCTTTGCCAAAAATTGCACAAATTGTCTGGGCCTTGGAAAGGGGCCTGAAATGGATGGCTACTCCATGTGGATGGCACTCCGTGTGGTGAATGCGCCACCACGCTCATAAAGAAGTTGCAAATGAGATTCCCCCGGTTTCCCATGGTTTCCCCTATTCCTGGTTACATGAAACAGTTAACATGATCCATCCCCGTTCCATGATGATCTTGCCGGTGCAACGCATGTCATAGCTGTTGCGTCAAATGCCCCTCAGGTGGTGCTTTGGGCTGCCGAGGACATCCTCGGTGGGCGAGAGCTCACCGTGGCTCAGCCAGTAGAGTTCTTTGATGCTCTCTCTCTCTCTCTTGTTTTGTAGGGCTCAGCTTGCCAAATTGTGGATCTGATGACAGATGATAGATGACTCCTGCCATACTCATGCCATTCCCTAGCAAAGATTGGCATTCTTGGGTGCGCCAGCCCCTTCACGTCGACTTTACCAGGGCCAAGAGCCACACGGCTCAGGTGGACTTCAACTCCCCCCCGAAGCCCTTGGAGCTTGCAGGGACGCCGCCCTCCACGTCGGGTGCCCAACTTCCGCTCGGTGGCCGGCACCGTTCCGCTCGCGCTGCGAGTCCGGAGCCGTTCGGCTTCGGCCTTCAGGTGGCAGAAGCCGCCGCAGAAGCCGGAGGTCCCAGTTTCAGCTTCAAACGAGAATGGGAGGCCCCAGCAGCTTGATGCCTTTGGACCTTGGTGGTTTACAGTGCTTTGCATGAGTTTCCCCATGGTATTGTGCTTTCTGATTGGGCTTGACCTTGGAAAATACTGCAACTCAAGCAAGTCATATAGGTGAAGGTGTAGAATCAAGCCTTTGCCCTAGCAGCAAGTATGACATGGTCGCCCTGATAAACCGTTTGAGGGGTCGCATTTGGGATGAAACTCACGAAACTGAACCAACGAGTCGGAGTCTATTCTGACAGCTGGCATGCCGGCTTTCTGTACACACACCCATAGACTGTGCCCATGCACTCGAACGGTCTTGCGGACCTTACGGCTCACAGCTGTATATAGATAGTAGCTCGCCGAATCGGGCAGGGTGTTGCGCCACTTGCGCCGTTTGAGCGCTCGGAAATTGACCTTCTTCGCTTGAGAGCTCGAAGTCCTTGTGATTCAGGTTTTTGAGAGAAACGTCATAACATATCAAGTAAACGAGGATTTGGAGCGGAGTTTGAATCAGCCATATGTGCGAACTTAGAGCAGAGCAATCTATTCTGATTACTTTTTTCATGGAGCCCCATGGCGCGTCCATCCGTCATCCACCTGCTGCTTCTGGCCGCTTGGAGCAAACACATTCATTATTCTCATTGTATTTGGGTGAGAAGGCAAAATACTGTGTATAGCACAAAGTAGCATGCTCCAGTGCCAGGGTGCATGGATGCAATGCTGGGTGCAGGCGCGTGAACTCCTGCGCACTGCGTGTTCCTTTAGCGACGCAATGATACCGCAGCCTGAGAGCAGAGCCCCCCACAGAAATGGGACAATCTGATCAAGTCCGTGGCATCACAACTGAGTACGAAAAGAGAGGTGCCTTTATGGCGCCGTCAACCCTGCGGCCTGCGACGATGCAGAACAAGCGACGAGGCGTGGTTCTGCGCGTTGCTGCACGAAATCTCTTTTGTTCATGGTGATTTGATTTGCATTGCACGGAAATCTGCAGGTAGCTGATGGGGGAAATCCTGCACCACCTGAGACTGAGATAGTGAAGCTTTCCACACTGGCATGGAACATTTGGCCCAGACTGCTTCGAAACATTGCGCGCCTCGCAGCACACCCAGTGGCTCATTGTAGGGCAGAATTGAACCATGGCGATCGTCAAGTCAGAGGCAGGTGGCTTCTGGCTTGCTGGGCAACCTGAGCTGACGCAAACAATGTAGATGTCATCCCATGTGAACGGATGCAAATTACGTCTAGGGTCTTTGGGGTGTTGGACCACAATAGACTAAACACACACACACATTTCGAGGGCATGCCTTTCCATACCTTTCCTCCTTGTCACCCACACATTGATACTCTCCCTTACCTCTCCACCTCTCTCAATTTTTGCGCGGTGCGGTGTTGACCGGGCAGGACAAGCCCATGGTGGAGGATCCCGCCACCCTATCATCGGCGCAGATGTCACAGCTGAGACTTTACGAGTCGGAGCTGTGGAAGAAAGCCTGCAGGATGCCAATGGCCAGTGGCCAATCACTAGCTTGAAATGTGGGTGAGTGATCGAAGAACGGCTTTTGTATATATGTTAGGAAGGGGCCGCCGGTTTGAGTTGTAGTGTTTAAGCGCAGGGGCCTTTTTCTCCTGAAGCTTTCTGGGAATAGCCTGTGATGTGGCAGGAACTCGGGCTATTTGATCAAAGAGATCCACTACAACACCTTCGCAAGAGAATGGCGGTGTGTTTGGAGTGAGGATGATGACAAACGATCACTAACAGAGCTCCAGCGCGTTTTGGAGGAGTCTGTTTGGGATTGTTGTGAGATCTTAAGCGTTCAGCAAGTTAAATCAACCCATGCTGCCAATTCCAATGTATTGATTCAATCATGTTTTGAGGCAAAGCAGCATTCACACACTTGCAACATGCAACTGCATGTATCATGTACTTTTCCATGTGCCAGCGCATGGGAACAGCTCTCGACATTGACAGGAAGTGGCCCTTCCAGCGCTCAGAAGAGTACAAGGAGTCCTGTCAGTGCAGCGCGCCGTTTGTGGATGCAAACACGAGTTCAAGGTCATCAGCGGCTCGCTGTTTCGGCGCGCTCACGCGGTCGCATCGCCCAACCAGTTGGACACAGGGCGAAGAGTGAATGGATGTGAAGTGCGAAGGGCCACATGATGGGATTTGCTGGTCAATCGCCGAAGTCTTTTCCTGAGAGTTCAAGATTTTTCCAGCTTCCAAGGTAAGCTTGGCCTGGATGCCTTTGAGGACTGGTCTGGGATGCAGTTCTATCCTGAAGAGGAGCGCTTGAGATCCCACGCACTAAACTCCCGTCGGTCAAGAAATTTGTCGATTGTCCCTCGCATTCGGCATGGCAGGAGCTAGTTCGCCTATGGCATCAGATTGAAGGGGTGAGCAAAATTGAGGTTGAGACCTACACCCTTGAGCCGGTCTTTGGTGCTGGCAAGTGACGCCGAATGCTGATATCATCTGAAAACTGGCTAGATGCGCCTACAGTCCATTGTGCCCTGTGAACTGACCAGTACAGCATATATTATAGTTCAAAACGTAAAAATGGTTGCCTGATACCAGTTGGATTGTTTGACACGATGCCTACCATTTTCTTATTTTGAAGGTTTTGCTTTGTTCACCGTGCTTTCTTGACAATGAATGATGGCATGCAGTCTGCAAACCATGGCAGATGCGCAATAGCCTCTTAAGATCGATGGCAGACTCTTCCCGACTTCGCTGCCCTTGGCCCCGGCCTGGGCCTCGTGGCGAAATGGAAAACAGCTCCGCGCTCAACTCGGAACCTGGACCTGAGGGGTCAAACATGTATCACTTCGTATATCTTCGTATGAAGTTTTTAGCAGTCGTTCGAACGCATCTCCGCTATCGAAGCAGTCGTTCGAAGCTGGAGAAAGCGAATTGACCCACCCCGAAAAGGGTCAAAGCTTTCAAGAACGTCCAGGTGTCAGAACTGCTGGCGGCGGGTTGCAGCTGCCGCGAGCCACGTTTGGCCCGGGAGTGCTTCGAGGCTGCTTTAGGCACCAAATGCCACCGAGCACGGATGAAGCATGTGCAGCTGGGGCTCTCTAACGCACAAAACAAAGTCAGGAAACTAGACTTTGTAGTTAAAGGGTTGCTTCTTCAGTGCTTTCGGGAGGTCCCCTTTTCGGGTGGAACATAAGCAAACAGATCCACGCTTGACTTGTTGAAGCGTTTGCACAAGCTCAGAGAAGACCAAATACGGAGAGTAGGTCACACTTTCGTCTCAAGTAGTGGACAAGGGAGCGGTGAGTTCCGAGTTCCTCTTCAAAGAGGGAGTAAGTTGCAGAACCAGGGACTGCCTGAGATGAACTGTTGCATGTGATGGCATTTGTTTGAGAAAAACATCTTGTTTATGTGGTGACCTGCTTCGATGCAGGCCTGCTCGCAGACTCAACCCAACGTGTCGAGCTTCTAATGAGGCCGCTTTGCTGCCCACAGACGATGTGAGAACAGCAGGGTAATTCCGAATGTGTGAAAGGTCATTATTGACCTTTAAGGGTTGCTCCTTTCCGATTTGCCGACGCGGCATGGGTGACAGTTGCACTTTGTACTACAATCCCCCGCAGCTATAGCCACCAAGGATTGGAGATACCTACTTGGAGGATTCTTTAGCTGAAACAGCTTTGGCAGCTTGGACGCGCTTTGCCTAGAGGCCTAAAGGAAACAATCGCTAAAAGAATCTAAAAGACGATTTGTGGAATGTGCACAGCATTGGCCTCTCAGGAATGGTTTGAGAAGGCACAGGGAGAGCTCAATGAGGATCTCAGGACTGCGGCCTTTGCATTTGATGCCCGAATTAGCATTCGGATGCAGAATTTCCTTAGCGTCCGATGAGACGTTCAGAAGGTTTACAACAGCTTCTTGTCGGGGTTGGGCTTTCTTTTCATGGGTGCCACGACGAAGGATTCACAAGTGATCTCAACATAATACAAAACAATACAGGATTGTCATGACCCAAGGTCAAGTAGGCTCAACTGTAACCCACATCTCAGCACCAGATTGGCGGCACCACAGCGTGCAGCGCTGATGGCACGCAGGGCTGCTGCTCGCAGTGGCCAAGGCTCAGTCAATCCTTCACCAGCACGACCGGCGAGAGCCCGACTTCTGGACTTACATGATCCTGCATTCTTTTCAACAGGATGCTTGTAGATGGAGGCCATCGCTATTGGGTTGGAGGCCATCGCTATTAGGTTGGAGACCATTGCTATATATTAGGTTGAGCACTTGTGTTGGATGAGTCAGTGCTTGAGAACTTTGTGGGACTTCAAGACTTACGTCGGAGCGTTGAACAGTGCGAGTCGGCCTTGGAGCTGCTGAAAGCCAGCGGTCTCTCGGTGGGTTTTGGAGGGCACCGCAGCCACTGCAGGTCCGCTGTGACGACGAGAAACTGAGTTGTACCGGCCATCGCTGCGCAGCATTCATACTACCTAGATCTACTGTGCCTAGAATCCAGGCAACAGTCATTTTGGGATGATATGACTACCAAATCCAACGGTTGATGATCATGGAGGTAGAGTACGAGCGACAGGCAGAGTTGGCGAACGTGCATCCAAGGTGAGCTTGATTCGGACGTTGGCATCTTCGTGCGAAGGGTTCTTGGAGACCTACTTGTCAGGTGAGACCCAGCTTTCTTGCAGTTATTACACACTTAGAGAGATGCTCGCAAGAGCTGAGTCAGTGAATGAAGTTCCACTTTACACTCACTGGGGCTTGACTTGGTAAAAAGGAAAGGCGCTGGAACCGAATGGTGAATGAGTCCGCCAGATTTGAAGGTGTTTTAACAAGTGGTTGCACGCATTAGCACTTTTCAGGAGAATTAAAACAATTGATGCAGGTACACAATGCGGCGTCCCGCATTGCTTCACGACTGATCTATCACTGTCTTCGTTGGGCAGTGAGTGATAGTGGTCCACTGCCCCCCTGCCTT